GTGTGTGTGTGTGTGTGTGTGTGTGTGTGTGTGAGAGAGAGAGAGAGAGAGAGAGAGAGAGAGAGAGAGAGAGAGAGAGAGAGAGAGCTGCAGCATGCAGAATGTCAGTGGCGGGGAGCACAAGGGCAGGCCGCAGGCGCTGTCCTCCAAAAAAAAAGAAAAAGTAATTTCATTGGAATACTAAAGTTTTTTCTTTTCAAAATCCAGCGAGGGATTGTGTATGTATGTTTTGTCATGTTCGCTATACACAACTTGAAGGGTGTGTGTGTGGGGTCCCAGTTGGTGCTTTATTCACGATGTTCGTGGGACGGTGGACCCAGTTCCCAGCAGGTGGGGCTTCCCATCAATATAGGAGAACGTGTGTACATGTGTATGTGTGTGTGTGTGTGTGTGTGTGTGTGTGTGTGTGTGTGTGTGTGTGTGGGAGAGAGAGAGAGAGAGAGAGAGAGGGTGTGTGTGTGCGTATGTGTGTGCGTGTGCATGCGTGCGTGTGTGTGCGTGTGTGCATGTGTGTGTGCGTGCGTGCGTGTGTGCATGTGTGTGTGAGAGAGATAGAGAGTGCGCGTGTGTCTGCATGTGCAGAGAGAGAGAGAGAGAGAGAGCGTGTGTGTGTGTGTGTGTGTGTGTGAGAGAGAGAGAGAGAGAGAGAGAGAGAGAGAGAGAGAGAGAGACCTGCAGCATGCAGCATGTCTGTGGCGGGGAGCACAAGGGCAGATGCTGACCTCCAAAAATAAAAAAAGAAGTAATTTTATTGGAATACAAGAGTTTTTTCTTTTTGAAATCCGAATGGAAACGGTACACGTTGTATTCGAATACGAGTTGTACGCGTTCTATTCGAGGTTCTCTGCTATTTGAGAAAAGTGGAGCTGCGCCAGTTCAATTTAAAAAAAGGCGGCCTCCTCAGCCTCCTACGGGCAGAGATTGGTCCTAAGCTGTCCTGGCCTTCACGAGGCCCCAAAACCTCAAAATGCCCACCCTCAGGACGTCCACGGACGTTGAAATTTGATTGACGTTGAAATGTCTCAAGGGGGGAATCTCAAGGGGGGAAACGCAACCGGGACGGGCTGCGAACCACGTTGAAGTTTGATTGACTTTGAAATGTCTCGGGTCTCCGGGAAAAACGCAACTCTGACGGGCTGCAAACTGGTTCTTCGCATGACCCGCCCCTTGCTAAGCCCCGTAACCTCAAAATGCCCACCCTCCCGAACGACCACCGACGTTGAATGACGTCGAAATGTGTCATGGGGGGGAAAACGCAACCCTTACGGGCTGCGAACACACTTCACACTTATTCGGTTCCTTTTGCCCACTTGTTGCTCTCGGCTTTCGAAATCATCGATCGACGCTGTCACAGTCGGCGTTGCTCTGGGCTGAAGTCATCGATCAACGCTGTCACAGTTGGCGTTGCTCTGGGCTTTCGAGATCGTTGATGCGTTTGCAGGTGGAGGTGTGGGAGAGGAGAAATGGCGCAGGCGATCCATGTGAGTTACTGCCACAAGAGTCTCGCGGCAATGCATGCACGTCAGCGCGATGCAAATCGTTGTCGCATGACACACAGAGAGAGAGAGAGAGAGAGAGAGAGAGAGAGAGAGAGAGCTTTGATGAGGTTAGCCCCTGATTTGGTCCGAGTGTAGGACTGAACTGGAGAGAGAGAGAGAGAGAGAGAGAGAGAGAGAGAGAGAGAGAGAGCGGGGATATAGACGACAGTTAACCAACCGCTTTGCCTCTGTTTTTTAGTTCTCGTTGCTGTGTTTTCTGCTCTTCGCTGTGTTTCTCTTTGGCCGGCAATGTGATGATTTGTCCGGGCTTTGTTTCATCTCCAATCTGACCTTGAGAGCTTCATAAATGCCTTATCAGATTCTGCACGCCATGCACTGCATATTGCTTTTTTTTTCTTTTTCTTCGTCTTTTTTTTTTCCTGCTATTCTTCATGCTTTTATGTAGGTCGGAGGCTTGCTCATTGCTTTGTCAAGACTTGAATATCTTACGTTTCAAAATTTCCTTCCTGACAGTTTCCTTTCCATCTCTTCGCAGGAAATAGTTTCTTGTCCATTTCATTAACTCTTCTCTGTCTTCCCTCCCTGTCCTCCCACTTCGCCTGTGTGCTCCTCTGTAGGCCTCGCCGCGCTTCTCACCAAGTGTGTGAAATAGCGGGTGTATCTTTAACTAGAAGATGGGAAGATAGATTTAACTAGAAGATGGGAAGATAGATAGACCCGCCATGTTCTTTGTCTTTTTCACATCTGGTAAAGTGGTGCAGTGAGGCCCCGTTCTACCTCTTTTTGCTGCCACTCTTTCCTCTCCTCTTGTCCCTGGGCTCTCTCCCTGCCATTCTCCTCTTGCCCCTCTGCCTTTCTTCTCCCCTGGCTCTCTTATGTCTCTCTCTCTGTGCCACGAAATGGAGACTAATCATTTACTCAATCGATCGATGAAATCAATGAATAAGGAGGATGACGTCGATCAATCAATCATCTAGGCTAATCAACTAGCTAAACACATTAGATAGATCTACGTGGATGCCCCGATGTTCTCACTCACAATAGAGGCCTATCTCTTGCATTCCTTTGTGCATGTACATTCCTAGAGTCCATCGGAGTAAATGCTGCCTCCTTTTCTTTTTCTTTTTCGGTCTTTCTTCTTTTCTTTACTTTTCTTTTTTTAATGCTGCGTACGTTGGCGATGTCAGTGCTCTCGAATCCACAAACTAACTAATTACTAGTGAATTAACCTGATGGATTGATGCAATGCCGTCAATCCGCATGTCAAGACGCTCGAGGACGACGGAATGATGGATTATAACTGTACTTGGGTCAGCTTTCCGTCCGGATGCAGCGACATGGACCCGGCGTTCTATTCGGGTGAAGACGGTAGTGTTGAAGGGCCACACCCCTGAGGTATCCGCAGAGTGCAGTACACGAGTTGATTTCTCTCTCTCTCTCTCTCTCTCTCTCTCTCTCTCTCTCTCTCTCTCTCTCTCTCTCTCTCTCGCTTTCTTTTTTTTTTCTTTTCTTTTTTCTCTTTGTCTGTCTTTCTTTCTTTCTTTTTTTTTTCTTTTTTTTTTTTCAAAGATAGGCTTTGGCGGCCGACTGTTCGTAACAAGTCTTGGTGAGGCCCGCCTCTCACATACGGAAGGGATGTGCTGTTCTTATTTTTTAAAATTGATCTGGGTTTCTATAGGCGGTCGTAGGAGTGTTGATTCTAAAGGTTAGCTCGATCTCACGCCGCTGCATTCGTGCTGTTGGCTTTTGCAGACTTTTGTCTGTATCCTGCAGTGAAGCGTAAGCCTGGAGGATTTAGCACCTGGCGTACCGAGCGTCCGAAGAAACCACAATTGTGACCAAGTGTCTAACCATTTTGATCATAAGGGTGAAGGGAGGGAGAAGAAGGAAGAGAAAGAGCTCGTGCTTGAAGAATCTAGCCGATCGAGTACGAGTGGTCAGAACAGAGAGAACAAAGGAGCGGAAAATATGGGGGATGGGGAGGGGGAAAAGGTTGAAAAGAAGGTTAAAGTTGGGAAAGATGGAAAAGAGGGCAAGAAGAAACTGGGCGGGAAGGATTCCGGAAAGGAGCGAAGGAAAATGAAGCAGCTGACATCTGTAACTGATGCCAGCAAGTCGCCTTTTCGGTTTCAGGGGGCGTAAGAGGAGGCCATCGAGGCAGCAGCAGCTGCAGATGAGTCTCTTTGGCAGGATGAAGTTGAGGAAGAATATGATGATGAAGAGGTAAGAGCGCCGCCTTCTGATCGGACGGAACCACGAGATAGTGTGTTGCGTTTTGACTCTATTGAAAGCTGGGACGCCAGTTTTGAAGATGGGGAAGACGATATCACTCCTGATGATAATGTGGTTGATTATGCTCCGTGTGGACCCAGCTACGGATTGGAAACTTACACTGAGCGAATACCGGTAGTAAATCTGTTAGCTGATGAAGAGGCTAGAACTGCAGACGTGGTCACCATGACTATGCTACAGGCGGGCAGCCATGCCAGAAGCATTGGGACGCAGAGCGCAAATGTGGCGATGGCTCTGGGGGAAACGATGTTGCTCAGGGCAGAAGTTGAAGTGGCAGCGTTTTTGCTGCTGTCAGAAGACGGCATGATAGCTGGACCGGAAGATAAAGTGCAAATTGCATCCATCGCTCTGTCCGATTGGTATCCGCATGATTGGTTCGACTGGTTTCGTGTGCCAGTTCCGGCTTGCGCCGCGGCTAATCACGGGGAGTTATCTGCTCTCGCTTATGCTTTGATGAAGGACAGCTTCAGATATATCATGCCTGATGGGCGGCCAAGCGTGCGTGACAGGTTTCGATATCCCGGTGGTGTGGACAGGTTGGTTTTTGTCTACATGAATGATGGGCCTGAGCCTATTCAGTATGGTGGCGAATTTCTGACAGCTGATGGCATTCGTGCGTTGATACGGCGTCTACATCGTAGGGGTTGGGGATATTATTTGCTTGAGCGTTTTCAGGGAGGGATGCGGTTGAATTTCGCTTATCTGCCTCCCGAGCCAATTCCACGTGATGCGGACAATTGTACCGTGATAGCTCGGGGCTTCAGAGAGGAGTTCAAATGGTTTGGCGAGGGCGAAGCGTTGGTCGATTATGCTGCCAATTTTGATGATTTGCCTGGAAAGGCAGCCTTGGCGGGCAGCGCACGTGGCAGAAGCGGTGTCGTCGCGGCGAAATTGGCAGACCCGTATTTCCGAATAAGACTGGGTAGTGAAGGCTTTTCATGTCCAACTGGACCAAAGCGCGTTGCCTGGCGATGGGCCAAAGTGCTAATGCGATATGTGAAGCGCAATAGCACTGAATTTGTCGAACCGCACCGCCCGGGTGGGTTCCTGGGTGCCGACGTGTTGGTGTCAGATTTTCCTGCACCTACTCGTCTTCGCGTTGCAAGGTATGATGAGTATGATGAGTATGATGAGTATGATGAGGCTGCTGTTGTCGCGGAGCGTCGTATGTATGAGTATGATGGATATGGTGTGGGCGACCTGATTGAAGTTGACGTGAGCAATCGGGGATTGTATGCTGAAGTGAGTCTAACTACGACAAAAGGTCGTCTGGTTGTGCGAGTGGAGAGGGATAGGCGGCCCAAGTGGGCAGGTCTCTTTGCTGGCGAGGGGAATGGTACGTTGTGGCGTGAGATGATTGGGAACATTTTTCGGGTAACGGGGAAACCACCAAGTTTGCATAATGCCATGTCTCGAACGGGGGTGATATCAGGGCCGATGAACAGCCCCGCTTGATGCACGGTCAACCTCTGCAGTCTGGATATCTGGTGCCGAAATTCGCGGCAGCAGATGTGGTTCTGATCTGGACTGCAGGGGCGATTCCAGCCCTTCAAGCACAGAGAGGTGTGCACCCATTGTATTATGCGGCGGGACCGGATTGGCTCAAGCGGGGCATGAAGGCCGCTTTTCGCGGTGAGCATTTTGAATGGAACGTCTGCATGGCCGACGTCGGGATAAATGCTAACATGGCGGGTAAAAAAATGAGCAGTAGATGCTCAGCGTTGGAATATTGGCATGGTACATCGTGGAAGCAGGCCAGTGGTATTTTGCCAGTCTTGCGCAAGGGCCATTTCTTGACTGCACAATTTGAGTGCTACGAGGTTGGAGTGCATACCCGGTTCGATAATGGCGAACCATATAGAGGACTGGGTTATTCTGGACGTTGGGCGGCTGACGCGAGCGCAGGTGTAATTTTCACATCGGTTGGTGATGGAGAGGGGCGACGTGCCGCAGATGCTTTCTTGGTTGATTGGTACGGTCGTGGGTATACTGCACAGGTGGGCAAGGATTTGTCACCTGCAGGTGGTTGGAGCATGTTCAAAGTTGGCACTCGTGCGCCAGGTACTACGGGTGCTGCTTAATTTGGAACGGATATATATGCTCCGACGAATGTTCCTTTTGGTATCGAATGGTCTGCGGATGATGAGAATGAACCGTTGACGATCTATCTTTCCAACCGCCGTTGTATTGCCGAGTTGGCTGTGGGAACGGCGCGGGT